CTCATTCCTAGAGTCTAAGGTATCTCGAACTAATCTCCACAAGCTGAAAGTGTAAAGTTGTTGGGGATTTAATTTTACACCGTGGGTTTTCAACACATTCTGTAAAGTATGTGCATACAATGTTTTGTCTGTTTTATTCCCATCCCTGAGACTTCTTCTCTGATCTTACCTTCACCGAAGGCAATTTCAGTAAGTTCCTACCTTACACGTTCACAGAATTCCTTCGTACTTTTTCCTCTGTGCTCTGGTCCCTGTTTTTCGGGTGCCAAATATCAGGGTCCAGCCTCCAATATACCAAACCAGTTCCGCGAGAGGAGGGATGGGGATTGAATGAAGACTCAGAGAGACTACCCATTGATGACAAATAGGAAAAGACTTTTATTTTTAAAAAGCATATATAAGTTTTTAGAAGCACCTCTGCAGTAGCCATCGCATTATCTCTTTCCGTCGGAGATGTTGACTCTCAGGTCAAACATTAACTCTCACAGACCTCAGTACAATACAAAGATGTTTTCCAGCATGTCTTATTGAGTGCTCTAAGAAATAAAGAGTTTTGGTAGATAACATTCCCTAAGGTCTGAGACCTTTGGTCACTCTTATTCATTAACATGCTGCTTCCTTGAGTTGTATATTGCCAAGCAGATTTTCTAGCGAAGATGGAGTTAGTCTTGCTGGTTTCACAGTACAGGGCTAATCTTGCTTTGCAAGTAAGTCAGGCCTCTGACACTCAGATTTTTGAGAAACAATCACCAAACTCTTTTCTAATGATGTGGAGAGTCTCCTTATGTGCTTACAGGCCATTTGAATATACCCATTTGGGCGAAGTATCTGTTCAAGTCCTTTGTCCATTTTTCAGTTGAGTTCTTTGTCTGCAGTTAAGCGGTAGAAGCATTTGATATGCTTTGGTTATGAAAACTTTAGAATTAGATTTTTTCTACAATCTGTAGGTTGTCTATGCATGTTATTAACAAAGTCCTTTGATTAAAAAAAGTGTATTTTATTTTTAAGAAGTCCCATTTATCATCTTTGGCTTTTGAGTTCACGCATTTTTTTTTGTTATCTCTAACAGTCCCTTGTTCAACATAAGGTCCCATAGCTTCATCGCTATATTTCATTCTAATAATGTTATGGTAGGAAGAACCAGCCCTTGGAGAAGGCCATCATGCTGGGAAGGGTGGAGAGACAGAGCAGGAGAGGAAGACCCTGGGTGAGATGGATTGATACAGTAACTAAGGCAATGTGGGTAGGTGTGTCAGAGTCAGTGAGACTGGCTCAGGACAGGACACGCTGTAGAGCTGTTGTACCTAGGGTCCCTATGAGTTGCAGGTGACTTGATGGCACACAACAACAATAACAACAGTCACACATTTAGGGTCTTGATCCATTTTGCAATGGCTTTTTGAGTATGAGGTGAGGGCTGGGTCCTGGTTCGTTCTTCAACATATATGTGTTCAGTTTTCCCAATTAAAGACCGTGCTGTGATGGCATAGTCTGTAGGGAGCTGCACAGCTAACCCAAAGGGCACATCTCTGGTGGTTCAAATCCACCAGGGACTCTCTGGGGGAAAGATGGGCTATCTCTGTCCCATGTGATTTACAGCCTTTGAAAACCCTCTGGAGGGTCAACGATGAGTCAGTTCTGACTCAACAGCCGTGAGTGAGTGAGACATTTATTGATGAGGCTCTTCTCCACTTGGATGGATCACTCGACCATAGATACTCGGACTAATTTCTGGACTCTCAATTCAATTCCTTTTGTCCGTATGTCTATTTTTACATCAGTGCCAGATTGTCTAAATTACTGTACCTTTAAAGTTGCTGGAAGTTGAATCTAGATTAGCTCACTAAGTGTCCATGAAAGTATATTAGGCATTTATTAAAAACCTATGAGGGTCTAAAAAGGGAGCCACAGTGGCACAGTGGATTAAGCATTGGGCTGCCAATCACAAGGTTGACACTCTGAATCTACCAGCTTCTCCATGGGAGAAAAATGAAGGAATTTGCTTCCATAAAGATGTACTGCCTTGCAAACCCTACAGGGCAATCCTATAGGGTCTCTGGACTGGAAAATGATTGAAAAGAGTGGATTTATGAAGGTAAAAAACCTCTCTCTAGGCAGGGGCAAAAATTATAACATCAGAAAGTTTTTGGTTTTAATTAATTTTAATGAAAGTTTACAGAGACTTAGGGTTTCCATTCATTCATTATTGTCTTCCCCAATTCACTCTTCTCCTTGAAAAGTAAAACTCTTTCATTGTTATGCAATCCCTCCCCCCAAGTCCCCTCCACTGTGCAGTCTTCGGTCAGGGTTCCTGCCATGACAATAATACCCGATCATATATTCCTTTGAAACAGTTCTCTCCCTTATCTGTTTCAATGCAGTATGCATCATTCCTCCTCTCCTTTTCTGTCTTCCCTCAACCCCAAAGTCATTCCTGTTTTACAACAGTGGCACCATGCAGTATTTGTCCTTTTGTGACTGAGATATTTCACTCAGCATAATGTCCTCCAGGGTCACCCATTTTTCAGCACTGCTTAGCATTCCATTGTGTGAATATACCAGAGCTTCTTTATCCATTTGTTTATTGATGGGTGGGTTGTTTCCAGCTCTTTGCTATTGCGAACAAAGCCACAATAAACATGGGTGTCATATATCTGCTTGGGTGACAGGTATGGTTTCTTTAGGGTAAATTCCCTGTAGTGGAGTTGCTGGGTCAAATGGTATTTCTATTCTATTTGCAACTTTTTGAGAAAGCGTCATACAGCCTTCCATATGGTAGCACGATTTTACACTCCCACCAACAGTGAATAAGGGTTCCAGTTTCTCCACAACCTTGCCAGCATTTGTTGGTTGCTGTTCTGTTAAATTTTGCTATTCTTACTGGGGTGATATGATATCTCATAGTTGTTTTGAACATCACAAAGTTTTAAAAAATATCAATAAGAAATGATCAAAAGGGGAAGGGGAAGGGGAGGAGGGAGGAAGAAGTAGGAAGGAGCAAGTCACTGGGGTTGCAGAGTTTACTGGGCAGAGGGGCTTGTGAAGAATCAGGCAAGGTGCAGCGGGAACTTGCTGAGCTGGGATGATAAAAGACATAGATCAATAGTAATTGATTGTATAAAACACAATGGACACGAACAAAACACAATGTGTGTGAATGATTGTACGAAACTCAATGGACATGAACGAAACGCAAGTTTTTAGAGAGAGAAATTCATTAAAATCCCTGCAATCAATACTCTCTGGAAATCTGTCTTGGAGCACGATGATCCGTAAGTTTCTCTTAGTGAATTTGTGTCTGCATACTGTGCTGTTGAATGTGCACTATGCCAGGCACTGTGCCAGGCACTGTGCCATGCTGTGCCTGCATCATCTCCTCTGAACCTCCAAAGACCTTCAGGTCAGTTATATTATCAACCCCACTTTTCGGATGAGTGAACTCAGCCTGGAGGATCTCTCCAAGGCCACACGGCTAGGATTTGAACCCCGTTCCCCTAATGCCTGGACAGAGGCCCAGCAGGCAGAACTGAACTGCTCCGAAAGGTTCCCAGGGCTCCAAACTTTAACATCAACTACTTTCTCTTTCTCCTGCTCATCAGCTGTGGGTTGGAACGTTTGCTCTTTCAACTGGCAGCTGAGCTCTTGACCATGACACCACCAGAGCTCATTTATAACAGTGATTATAACTAACAGTAGTTATAACTGTAACCAAAGCCTCAGATGTGGTGGGGATGGTGAGGGTGGCACAGGATCAGGCAAGGTTCTGATGTGGTTCGTTAAGTCACTATGAAGTGTAGTCCACATGGCGATGGCATATGACAACAACAACAACAACAGAGTCATAATAAGGAGCCAAAAGTTTTACGTAGGAGTTGACTCGACTCTTGTACAACTCATAGTGGACCTTATAAACAACAGAACTGAACCCTGTCTTATCCTGTGCCCTTCGCACACTTCCTGACACGTTGGAGCCAATTGCTGCAGTCACTGTGTTAATTCATCTCATCGGGGGCCCTTTTCTCTTTCATTGACCCTCTACCTTCCCAAGCATGATGTCCCTTCCAAGGAATAGCCTTTTCTAGCAACATGTCCAAAATATATGAGAAGAAACTTTGTCACCTTTGCCTCCAAGGAGCACTCTGGCTGCACTTTCTCCAAGACATATCTGTTTGTGCTTTTGTCAGTTCAGGGGATACTTAGTACTTTTCTCCAACACTATAATTCAAGGGCCTCAATTCTTCTGTCATCTTCATTCACTGTCTAGCTCTCAGATGCCTGGCATGTGATTGAAAAGATCTTGGCCTGAATCAGGGGTACTTTCATCTACAAACTGGCATCATAGCTCTTCAGTACTTTGGAGAGGTCTCCGACAACAGACTTTCCCAGTAACACGGTTACTGATTTCTTGACTTTTGAAAATCTTTTGAACAATAGAGCAAACTTCTGGAGATCCTGTAATGCTTACAATGGTTCTCATCATCACTTTGGCAAGCTGGTAAGCGAAGGAGCTCTGGTGGCTTAATTGCTGGGGAGTTAAGCTTGCCACCCAAAGAAAGACAGTTGGAATCCACCAGTCGCTCCCAGGGAGGAAGATGAAGAATCTCCTGTGCAATTTACAGAAAACCCCCTCGAGGGTCAGCTATGAGTAGGCTCCAACTCCAGACGGCAATGGGAGGGAGAACGGAGGAGGCAGCAGTCCTTGGCCCGAGGCTGCCTGGCTGCTGGGAAACCAGATGCCTGAACCCTCCACCCTCCACCGCTCAGCCTCCCGGGCTACAGTCCCCATCTCTCCATCCTGGCTCCTAACTTTGCCCAACTTTCCCTGGGGCGCTTCCACCTAGTCCCGGGGGCTCCACCCTTTTCCTCGGGGGCGGAGTAGGCAGAGGGCGGGTTGCCGGGAGCTGTCCCCTCCCCGAACCCTCCCCTGGCCTTTAAGCCATTGCCGGCTGGCCGGGCGCGGGCAGTCCCGGGCTGTCCGGCTGTGCCCGGCAATCGCACAGATGGCGGCGCTGGCGGCCGTGGCCAAGAAGCTGTGGAGCGCGCGGCGGCTGCTGGTGCTGCTGTTCACGCCGCTGGTGCTGCTGCCCGTGGTCTTCGCACTCCCGCCCAAGGTAACGCCTCCCACCCCAGTGGCAGCCCTGCCACCTGCAAGACCCCTGCGCCCATGTCTCTGGGGTGAGAGACCCCGGAGGTCCCAGTCCATCAGCTTTCTGCAGACTCTCCCCTCGGCCCTGTCCTTCCTGCCCTGCTGCACTCTCCCCAGCTGCTCCTTGGAGCCTGGACCCCAACGGGTCTTCTGGAGTCTCTCAACTCTCCTGGAAAGAGTTCTCATTATTGGGTTCCATGCGCTTGGCGCTGGCTGGGCGCTTTGCTTGAGAGACAAAGGCTTAATGAGTGCAAGCTGTGTGACCTTGGGCAAGTTGCTTAACCTCTCTGAACTGCGGTTTCTCATTGCCTTCAAGTTGGAACTGACTCATAGCTGATCCTCCAGTTGGGTTTCTGAAGCTGTAAATGGCACAGGAGGAAATGGCCCATCTTTCTCCTGTGGAGCAGTGGTTGGATTTAAACCTCCAGAGAAGCCTTGGCCTTTGGATTAGCAGTGTGACTCCCTAAAGACTATGCCACCAGTTCCCTCGTGTATGAAAATAGAGGAAATGACAGCGACACCCCGGAGAGCTGGGGCTGTTAGTACATGAGACAATCAGTGATTTGAACTGCGTCATTCAGGTTTAACTCCTTGATGAGCGTTTACCTTTTCCACTCCAGATACACTGAACCAGAACTCAACAATTTAACAAGATCCCGATACATACATGTTCTTATACATACAAAAGAATCCTATGTCAGAATGACCTGCAGATCATGTTAAAACACTAAGTTCTCGTTCAGTATATGGGAGTTGAAATGCAAAATGAATCTGGTTGGAGGTTCTGGGCCGGGGAGCCTCAGGGGAAGGAGTCTTTATCCCATTGTTGCTGCTGTTGTCAGGTGCCGTCCAGGCAACTCCCACTCACAGACACTGTGAACAACAGATCTGAATCTTGCCCTAGGCTGTGCCATCCTTGTCACCTCTGGTATGTTTGAGCCCATTGCTACAGTCACCATGTCAATCCCTCTTGCTGGGGATCTTTCTTTCTCTTTCCCAGCATGATGTCTTTTTTCAAGGACAACATGCCCACAGTATATCAGACGAAGTTTCCCCATCCTTGCCTCGAAGGAGCACCTGGGTCTTACTTCCTCCAAAATAGACGTGTTGGTTCTTTTGGCAATGCGTGGGATATTCAGTACTCTTCTTCAACAGTTCAAAGGCATCAATTATTTTTCTGTCATCCTCATTCACTGTCCAGCTTCCATGCTTAGGAAGCAGTTGAAAAAACATGGCTTGGATCAGGTGTCTTCAAGCTGAAATCCTTGCTCTTGAGAACTTCGAAGAGGACCTTGATAGCAGGTTTTCCCAAGGCCACACATCTTTTGATTTCTTAACAGCTGTGACCATGGGTGTTAATTGTGGATGCAAGTAAAATGACATTGTTGACAACTTCATTCTTTTCTCTATCTATCGTCATGTTGCTTATTTGTTCAATGGTGCCTTCATTACCCAGAAAGAAAACTGGAGACTCAGCTCCGGGATGTGCAGTGATTTGCTCCGAGTCATACAGTAAGTGGTTCAGTGAAGATTTGATTCCTGACCTGTCAGTGTCGCAAACCCAAAGGACTTCCAGACTCCCAAAGAAAGTAATTTCTCAAAGGTCAAAGGTTGCAGGTGGAGATCAGGAGTCTACAAAAGTAACACCTATGAGCTGAAGGAGATGGCACCCTTCACCTAGACTCTTCTGGATATTGGGGAAAGGGCACAAGTCTCCTACTTCAAGGAAGAGATAGCCGAACAACAGGAAGGAGCATGTGACCTGGGGATACATTCTGCAGCCCCCAGCAGCTGAGATGGGGTGGGGGGAGGGGGAATGGGGGAGGTGTTCACAGAGGGCTGCCTGGAGGAAGAGGCCTTCCTTGAACACAGGGAGTAAAGAGGTGATATGTGGTGGCAAGGAGGAGACCCAGCACAAATACACAAGCAAGTTATTTAGGGTAGAATTCTTCAAGTTAGTAGCCTTTCTTGAAATGGAAGAAAATCCAAAATGTCAAGCTAGGGGCTGCTGTTAGAGAGTGTGGCACAGGCCTTGAACACATGGCCTGGGGGAGTCTCAGATTAGGATGCTTGAAAACAGGCCATCCTGGGCACGAGCCTTGGGCCAGTCCCTTTTTGTCTGTTGTGTCTCTCCTTGCCTGTGCTATGAAGTGGTTGCCATATAATGAATGCTTGAGCCAGGATGTCAGACAGCTTTGGGAAACCTCAGTGGTGGAAAGGTGGAGAGATAAGGCTTAACTGGTTACCTGGAGCCTACGAGGCCTCGGCTGAGTTCCATGATGAAGACAAAAAAACGGTGTGTAAGGTCAGCATGTCGAATCCACCGCTCGCTCCCGGGTAGAGAGATGGGCAGTCTCTTTCGTATAAATATTTATAGCCTCAGAGACCCAATGGAGAGTTGTCATGAGTCAGAACCGACTGGACGGCAGAGCAAAGGCACACCGTGCTTCAGTGAGTCTCTCTTTATTGCACACCACAGATATGAGTCATGCGAGCCCTGTGTTAAGCAAAGTCTGTCAGCTCTCTCCATTTTTCCAAAAGTGTGTGTTTACTTCACGTCACACCATCTCAAACTTCTTCCTAGTGTTTTATCGCACACTTAACAGCCCACAGGACTACAGAAAGCCAAAAGATTTGTGCAGCTCGCTCGCTTGCAATCTTTGCTTTATTGGAGCAATATCTGCTAGGAGATACCAATCTCTGGTAGCCTAGTGGGTAAGGAGTTGTGCTGCCAACCCTTAGGCACGTGGTTCGAATGCACCAGCTGGTCTGTGGAAGAAAGATGGCAATCTCTTCCCCGTGTGGTTTACAGTGATTAAACTTCTTCTGGAGGGTCAACTATGAGTTTCTTCTGACTCGATGGCACACAACAACAACGTCCCCTCCTCTCTGTGCAGGTTTGCAAACGCAAATTCAGTGTGAGGCTCTGAAGCTTAAGTGTCAGTAACACCACTGTGACTCGTTTGTGTAGGAACTCCAGCCGTGATATCCCTAAGCCTTGATAAGCTCAGCAAGCTTGATTAAGGAAAAGGAACCAGTGTTTCTCCAGTAGATTCTGACCCATAGCAGCCCCACGTGCTTCGGTGTGGAAATGCACTCTATGAGGTTTTCAGCTGTGACTTTTCAGATGTAGATTGTCTGGGCAATTGTTGTTAAGGTGCCATCGAGTCGGGTATAACACATAGCAAATCCTATGAGCAGCAGAACTGAACCCTGTCCTACCCGGTGCCCTCTCCCCAATCTCTGACACACGTGAGCCCGCTGCTGAGTCACCGTGTCAATCCATCTCGTTGGGGGTCTTCCTCTCTTTTGCTGACCTCCTACCTTTCCGGGCGTGCTGTCTCTCTCCAATAATAGCCTCTCTTAGCTGTATGTCCAGTGTATGAGAGCAGAAGCTTTGCCATCCTTTCTTCCAAGGAGCACTCTGGATTGTACCTTTTCCAAGACAACTCTGTGCATTTACAGCCCCTGAAAACCCACTGGAGGGTCAGCTATGAGCCCATTGTGCTGCATCAACAATGAGTTGTTGAGTTTGATGAGTCACCACCGACTTCATTACAGTGGTGGGTGCTTTCTACAGACACAGAGATTGCTGGGCTCTCCTCCTTCATGTTGCTGGGTGGGCTTGAACTTCCAACCATGAAGCTTGGAGCCAAGTGCAAACTATGTGCACCATCAGGGGATCTACTCTGCTGGGTGGGAGATATTTTAAACCAAACCAGATGCCACCAGTTGATTCATGGTACCACCGGCTGATCCAGTTCATGGAAGCCCCACGTGTACCAGAATGTCACAGGGATTTCAATGACTGGGATTTTGGAAGTAGATCACCAGGCATTTCTTCCAAGGCACCTTTGAGTGGATTCAAACCATCAGCCTCGGTATCCAAGTCATTAATTGCTTGTGCCATCCAAGAGCTCCTCAGTATACCGCAAACCTTCCCTTCCCACTTTCTAGCATTGTGGTTATCACTATTAATTCCTTGGCTTTTAACATGCTTCTCCTTGTACAGTGTGAGTCAGAGCACCTGTAAGAACATTGCTGATTGTGTTGATCTTGGCACCTAACACAAACACAGGGGGCTTGCTGGGCAAATTCAACCTCAAGACAATGCCTGCCATCTTCAAGGCATTTCCTCCCCAAAGGCGAGGTGGTCTAAATGGTTTTGAAAATGTAGCTTTAAGACACTTATCTTTTTTGGTGTCCACTCTCATCCCCCCCATGAGAGGGCCACTTCTAAATCTCTCTCACATAGAAAATCTATGGGAGGCTCCAGGACAGCTTGTATGGTACCTTTGGGCCCCCAGAAGCTTTTTTTGCCAGGTAAGAGTTCAGGACGGATGTTTGTGATGCTTGGACATTCACTGTTTGCTGTGTTGTCTGCAGTGAGGGACTCGCCAGCATGTGTCTCTCTTTCTCTAGAGGGTACTGCTGCTCTGGTGGCCCAGAGGACTGGCCATGTACACCTGTCCCCAGTGACTGTGAGCTGGCACGTGGCAGGGCTGGGAGCATCCTCCTGGGCAGGTGGTGGTGAGGCGTGAGGACGATGGGGGAGGGGACGGTCCCTGTGTGATGTCCTCCCAGCTCGGGAATACTGCCAGCAGGGAAAGGAGTGGGATACAGTTCTGGAATGCAGTGGTTGCAGTTTTCCTGGCCACTGGGGAGCCCAGCTCTTACTGCAGAGCGTTAGAGGCTCAGAGAGAACACCTCTTAGTTTTCCAACCTGGACCAGCAGCCCCGGGAGCCGGAGGCATGGGGAGTAGCCTTGGGTCACTAATGGGGACCAAGCTGGCCTGGTACAGCAGGTTTGCACATAAGCACCACCCACACACATGCGCAGAGAAGTTTGTCTCCTTTCTTGCCTTGAAGTCACCAAGACGACATTTAGCTAAACTGATCCTGTGGCCACAGTGAGGGCTTAGAGCGGGCACTTGGGCCACTGTTTCCAGTGTTGAGGCTGTTCTG